TGGAGGTTGCTGTGAGCTGTGATGCCACAGCCCTCCACCCAGGGGGACAGCTTGAGGCTCTGTCTCAAAAAAAAAACAAAAAAAATTATTGTTCAAATAATGTACTTTGGTCAAAATTAAATCCAACTTATGTGAGAATTAGTCACTGTTTTCTATTTTTTTTTCTTTTCCTTTCCCCCACCCCCTTCCCTCCTTCTCTGTCTGCTCTCGAGGTTTCCATTTTTAAACAAAGCTGGAATAAGGAATAAGCTGTGTCTCCCAGGAGAGGTATCCCCACTATTCCTCTTGGGGATGAGATTACTGTGTCAGAGGACCATAAAGTGTTTTCTAGTTCCTTTAGCATTTTCAACCACGTCCAACATACCTACTTTTACAAAATGGCACCTTGGTGGTTTCAATTTGTATTCTCTTGGCTGACCACTGCCCCCAAAGTACATTTGCTATAGAATATTTACTTGAAGGGATATTTTTCCTTATTTGTTAATTCATCTAATAATTATTGATCAAGTACCTGTTATGTGCCAGACACTGTCCTAGGGGTGGAGAAACATCAATGAACACAAAAGAAAAAGTTTTGCTCTCATTTAACTCTTGGGAGGAAAAAAATAAAAAAATAAATAAGGAAAAGAGAGTTCTGCCCGCAGGAGGAAACACAGTCAGTAAACAATACACAGGATCTCAGAAGGCAGAGAGGTGGTAAGAGGCAGCAAGAGGTTCTAGTTAAGAGGTTGGTCAAGTGGGGCAGGGAAGGCTTCTCTGATAAAATGGGATCATAGAGGAAGTGTCTTCCAGACAGAAGGCTCAGCAAGTGCAAAGGCCCTGAGGTGGGCAGGTACCTGATATGTTCACAGAGAGGCAAGGCCCGTGTGGTGGGAGGGAGTAATGGGGACAAAAGGGCCAAGGTAGAAGGGGAGTAAAGCAGCCAGATCACACAGGGCTTTGTAGGCTACTCCAAGAGATAAGAAGTCATCAGAAGACTGGAACAGAGGCATGATAGAACAGTTACAAGTTCAATGCCACCTTCTAGAGAAGAGATGACGGTAACCTGCAGTTGGTGGCTATGGTGGCAAGTGGTTGATATGGGTGAAGTCTGATGCTGGCAGAGAAAGACCAAGGAAGGGTGAGGACAAGTCCAAGGTTTCTGCCATTTACTGAGATGGGAAAGGTAGCCATGGAAGCTAGCAAGCTTGGCCAGGCTGAAGTTTACTTATGGCAACTTTAAGTTTCAAATGCCTTCTAGACATTCACATGGAGACAGGACAGATTCTTGGAGTCTCCAGAGCTGTCTGGGCTGGAGGTAGTGCTGTGGGAGCTAGCAGCATGGGATGTAGGTGAGATCGCTAGGGCTGGACCCTGTGGCCCATGGCACCTGGGAATGGGAAAGAGGCTGGCCTGTCAGGGGAGGAAGAGGAAAAGGAAGCCTCAGATGGGAACTTCAAGAAGAGGGAGAGATGTCTGCATATGTCAGTGCTGAGGCCTGTGAAAGCTTTTCTCTGTGGAGTGGTGGGCAAAGCCTGATGGGTGGGGCTGAGAGAGAAAAGAGGGTAGAAACGGAGATGACAGATATAGAAAGTTCCAACGTGCAGGCGTGGGAGGAGTGTGGGAGGAGGGTAGAGAAACACAGTAGCTGGAGGAGGACGAGCGCCTAAGTGCTTTTATTAGATGGGCTCATGACTGAATATGTGTATGTGGACCGAAGGACTCAGAGAAGAAACAATGGCGCTAGGAAGGAGGAGGAAGCCGCTGCAGTGATGTTCCTGAGAGGGCAGGAGGAGTGGGATAGAAGGACAGAGGGTGGGCAGGTGGTTGGCCCAGGTCATGAGAAGGCCCAGTGTAGGGCTGTGGAAAGTCCCCTTTCAGTGAAGCAGGATGTCAGCAGGAGAGCAAGGGTGGGAGAGGGAGGATCGAATGGAGAAAAAAGAAAGTAGAAATGAGGTTGCCCTCAAGGGCAGTGGAGCATGATGGCCCGCAGAAGGGGGCAGCTCTGTGGGGGACCTGCAAGTGTGACTGCATCCTCCAGCCACATTTAGCTCCATGGCTATAGGCATGGGGCAGGGAAGAGTTGGGTTAACCACAGCTGGGGCTTGCCCAGGATTGTCTCAGGAAAAGAAATACCAGAGAACTGAGGGTGGCAGCAGCAGTAACCATGATGCATGGCAGATGCCAAGCTGAGTGAGGTGGCAGGAAGGCTCTGGGGCCAGTGAGGTCAGAGGCTCAACAGACTCGGTTCTGGTGGGGTACACATGAAATTCAGAAACAGGTAAATTGAAACTTTAGTGTTTAGGGATGGCAGCTGAGGTGGTAAGAAAGGTCACTCTAGGAAGGTCAGGACTGCAGTGACTGACAGCTGTGAGGGGCCTGAGGGGCCCCTGTAGGGATGCTGGCAAGGACCTGATTCCTGTCTGGGCTGGTTATACGTGTGTTTCCTTCTTGGTAATTCATTGACCCACACATTTGTTTTGTACACTTTTCTATGTGTATATTTCACAGTAAGAAGAGATTAAATGAAAGTGAGTGAGGTGAGCAAGACTATTAACTCTTCCTTTGTTAAAGATCAAAAAAAAAAAAAAAAAA